GTATTTACCCTCAGGGCAAAGATGTAACTGGTAGAATCATAAATTCTTATATAGCTTGCTTCTCAGTTCTTCCTTCTTAATTATTGTAATTCAGAGTAGTAATACTTGTATAACTTCAGGAGCTTCATGGTGTTCCTGCTGTATTAAGTATTACTATATATAGCATTAAACATTACTACAGTAGTAAGCATTGCTACAGTGTTATTACAGTAGTAAGTGTTGCTGCAGTGTTATTACTACAGTATTAGGCGTTGCTAGAGTAATAAGTAATTACTGCAGTATTAAGTGCTGCACGGTTGTTACCGAAGTATTAAGTGTTGCTGCAGTGTTGTTACTGCAGTATTAGGTGTTGCTGCAGTGATGTTACTGCGGTAGTAGATGTTGCTAGAGTAATAAGTAATTATGCAGTATTAAGTGTTGCTGCAATACTGGGGTTGCTACAGTATTAACTGTTGCTACAGGTACTTAGTACTGCAGTTATAAAGTGGAACAATCTCTTGCTGGTGATGTAGTCACAGCTGCTGCCTCAAGCACCGAATTCTCTGTCTGGGCTAAGCACAGACCAGATAGTCTGGGCTGTGCTCGGAAAGGTGACCTGGCACCTCTCTGAGGGAGAGGGCTGTCAGCTTGCAAACATGCAGAGATTGAAGTGGAAGCTGATGCTGTTGTCAGTGTGACCAGCGCGGTGTGTGTTTCCACCAGTTCTCTCCCTGGATGAGTCCCTTTAAGATAATACGAGTCAGATGCTTCAGACCAGTGAGTTGTCCTCAACAGAAGTGATTTTCCTGGCCCATGTGTTTCTTCTGCTGTTGTCACCTGGCACAAGAGGTGCTCGCTGTGGGCGAAAGTGCAGTCCAGTGCTGGCCTCGTGGGTGTCACTTAGTCTCTGGCCTTGGTGTCTTCATTTTCCAGGTGAAGAAGGATGAGTGACTCCCAAGGCTCCTCTCTGCCCAGGTCCTGATGTTCGGGGACATGGTCTGAGCCCTGCCTCCCAGCAGCTAGCTCGGATGCATGACCACTCGGTAGCCAACAGAGAAAGATTCTCTCCTACCGCAGTTTAACGTGCCGGTCTTCCGGCCGAGACGGGGATTGCTGGGGTCATTTCACCGTAACCTGCCCAGCGTCCTCATGTGGAAATGGCAGGGTGTGAATCTTCTTTACTCAGAAGGGGACAGCACACACTTTGTTGAAAGCCAGATGCTGATAGAACCAACCCTAAGACAGGCGGCCCGTGCCACAATGTCAGTATCAGCCAGCCTGGCCGGTGTGGCTCAGTGGGTAGAGTGTCAGCCTGTGGACCGCAGAGTCCCAGGTTCCCTATGGACCAAAGGGTCCTGGGTTCTATTCCGGTCAAGGGCATGTAACTTGGTTGCAGGCTCCTCCCTGGCCTCGACCCTGGTCAGGGTGCATGCAGGAGGCAACCAATCAGTGTGTGTCTCTCACATCAATATTTCTCTGTCTTTCCTTCTCTCTTCCACTCTCTCTAAAAATCAATGGAAAAATATCTTCGGGTGAGGATTCACCAACCAACAAACAAATCAGCCAGAAGGGGTGTTGGCATGTGGGGGTTTCAAGTCGTTACTTCTATGGCAGGGCTCCTAGGGCCAAGGAGGAAACAGTTCATTGAGATGAAGTGCACACGTGGAAAAGTCAACAACAGAAGGTCTTGACAGAACTGATGCTCAGTGTCTAATGGTGCAGGGTTTGGTTTGCTTTGGTTTTGTCTGTTGTCAAGATTGTGGGCACCTTTAAAAACATTGTTTTTCGTGTGCTTATTGCCCGTTTTCATATCTTCCTTGAGAATGGTACAGAGTTCTTAAAGGTAGAGGACCCTGATTTCTAGACTGAGCAGGACTGACTTTAGGGAGAAAGCAGAACTTGAGATCCAGCCAGTGCAGTCATGAGCGGACATGGAAGTGTAGGGTGCAGAGACGGAGAGGCAGCCACACGCAGGGTGAGTGTGGCGCACACAGCCCCTGCGGTGGACGGGGCACCCCCTTCTTCATGGGCAGCGCTCGCCTGCAGTCACTGGCCCCTCATCGGCAGACGTGATGGTCACAGAGCACGGGTTTAGGAGGGCCCACACTCCCCACACTTGCTCCCAAATTGTCTTCCGAGGCTTGGCTTGGACATGTTCCGACCCCTGGCCTCAGCCCAGGACGGATGCAGATCTGAGCAGGCTCCTGAGCCAGGGCTGTTTGACACACACAGTGGGGTCTGTCCTGGGGGCTTGGCGGTCACTTGGACAGGAGGACCAGGCACCGCAGTCAGTGGAGTGGAGCGGAGAGGGCAGAACAGGTGTGTGCACTTTGATTGACAGTTTACACTGATGGACACAGCGGAGCCTTGAGCGTCAGAGCTGTGAGCGGCAGGGGCTCTGAGGTTGGAGACCAGCTCCTTCCAAGCAGCTGAGCATGTGAGTCCAGTGATTTACCACATGCAGCTGACACTCCGGGGCGTCTTCCTGCTCCTGCTCTGCATGTGGCAGCCCCCACGGGAGGCCTGAGCAGCACGCGGCCATCTTGACATCTGGGGGAAGCAAGGTGTCTGTGGGTGAGGAAAGACTGCAGCAGAACTCCCAACTCAGAGCTGGATTTGTGCCACGAAAGAAGGATCCCACTGCCCAGCTGAGGAGGGGCATTGGATGACATCACTGAAGAGCAGAGAGTCAGCAATGGCCGCCTTTCCCAGCGCCCGGGTGACCGGGGTGAAGAGGGGGCCTGTGCTGGCGAACCACACGGTGCAGGCAGCTTGATGCAGAAGAGACGCGTCAGGCAGGGTATTGACGAGCTGAGAAGAAGGACACAAGCCATGGAGAGGTGACGAAAGCTCTGTGACCCACAGAGTCATGGGCAGACCCTGAGGAGCAGAACTACAGACTCACTGTTACACTTACTGACTCATCACTAGGACCGACACGGGGTGGACACTGAACAAGGCGCTCGCATCCAGCCCGTCCGTGAGAGGGGCGGCTGGCGTGGCTGCGACGTGCAGCTCGCTCTGCAGTGCTGGTGGCCAGGAGGTGATTCAGCATCACAGGGCAGCAGGATGCGAGGAGCCGGTGTTTCGAGGCCGGATCGTCTCCCGGGGTTGTGGACTCAGAAGCTCCCCCAAACACGCAAGAGTCGCATAAAAGAAATCTCAGCGTTCTGTTTAGTTCATGTGAGAAATGCCTGTGCACCAGCATTTGTTTTCTTCAGTGTTTTCTGGTCATCAGTGGTCTTTTCTGACTGTATGTCTGGAGAGGTGCCTCTGGGGTCTCAGAGGCCAGAGGCCTGCATCCTGCTCTCCGTCTCCGGCTTCGCCCCTCCCGCTGCCCCCGCACCCAGCCGGCCGTCCTTACATGCAGGTGCGATGGCGATGCCGCGTAGTCCCCGCCGCGTAGTCCCTGTCCCTGCACGGAAGTCTGCAGTCCCACAGCCAGTCCCAGGGTCTCG